CAAGAATGCTATATAAATGGAATCATACAGTTTGTAACCTTTTGAGATTGTTTTTTTTTTTCCCCCACTATGCCTAATGCCCTTTAGATCCATCCAACTATGCAGGTATCGTTCCCTTTACTGCTGAGCAATAGTCCATGTATACCTTTTAAGATCTAGTCTTGGGAATCACACGGTTTCACTTCTACAATAATTACAAGACTGTCCAGATTTAAGGGGAGAAACACCCAACCTCCCTACCTTAATGAGAGTAGTGTCAGTATCCCTTTATAAGAAAAGTGTAAGGGACAGGAAAATTGTTGTGGCCACCTGGGTAAACATACCTGCCAAAGATGGCAAGTAGCAAAGGTGGGCTGCAAATCCAGGTAGCTTGAGACTAGAGCCCATATTTTTAGAGTGACAACTTGTGTATTCTGGACAACACAATGAGAATTAAATCATTACAAACTTAATCAAGGAACAGGTCTACGGATATATTTTAAAGATGCAACATTAATTTTATTTAAAGAATTTAGAGACAAATAGGAAAGGCTTGACAAAGTTAGAATTCTGCATGCTCATTGGGAAAAAATGACTGTAAGAAATGTTTAGGTAAGCAGCCTGGAAGTAAAAACGTTTAGGTAAGCAGCTGGAGTGGAGGGGTAGGGATGGGGAAGCAGGAGTGATAGGGAGGCAGGGCCAAACGAATCTAGCAAGGTCAAGGCTAAAGTTCTTCAGGGATTGCCCTTGGGCAAGGAGCATCTCTTGACCAGGAAACTGGAAAACATGATAGACAAGGCATCACCAACATGGTGCCAGTAAAGTAAAAAACAAAACCTTTAGTTTATTCTAATATTTTATTTATAATTAAAAATAAATTATAAACGGCCTCACTAGAGAAAAGACCAAATTGTCTTTCCAATCTCTCTAATAGAAAATATTGTAAAGCTTTGTCTCATTAAGAAGTAATCAAAGAATATGTAAGAAAAAAAGAATATAGGGTATGTCAGTTAATAATAAAAATAATATTGTGATTTTTTCCCTATATTTTTAATATTTGTGATATTTCTTAGCTCTCTAAAATTTATAACTTGTGGTGATTAATGGTTCTAAAAAAACATTAAATTTTGTATTCACAATTTTGCATTCTTTTTCTTAAATTGTATGAAATTCAAATTGTATCAACTTCAGGCTCACAAAACTTGGAAACTTCTGCGTACAATATAAATTCAATGTGGAATGAACAACTCATCAATAAAAATCCAAATTAGAGTTTTACTGTCCCTCATAGAACCCCTGAGATACCAGGTAACCAAGAGACTTGGTTGGTGGGGAGGAGTGGAAATGAAGATTAAATGGTATTGATAACAGATACCCAGGCCTAGATGCACGGGAATAACATGCCTCTGTCCAGGAGCATGGGGGAGACTCACTCACAGGCCATGGTTAGGAGTCTAGATCTCATTCTAAGAGCAACCGGAAAACAACAGCAAGCTTTCAGCAAGAGAGCATGTGTTTACAATGAGGAGGCAAGTTGTGAGAGGACTGGTGAAGGCTTGCACCAAGGTGATGGCTCTTCAGCATTTCCACTGTCCCATGTCTGTAGCCATCAAGTAGAATCGCTCTATGTGCTTGGGGGCCCCCTAAGTGTGTAATGAGCCAGAGGTTCACTGGCTTCCTCAGAAATCCTTGCTCAGCCAGTTGACTCCTGGGTCTGCAACCAAGCACTATAAAAAAAAAAAAAAAAACCCTGTGGGAGGTGGACTTCTCACAGCCTCTCAGCTTTCTGATTAATTATTTAGATGGGAAACAAAGCCTACTCAGATGAAGCATAAATAAATAAATAAATAAATAAATAGATAGATAGATAGATAGATAGATAGATAGAAAAATAAATAAATAAATAAGTGAACTCCAAGTAAGGATCGCAATTCTGTCCCAAATATTGGACTTTCTTTATCTCTGGTTATGGGGGTTAGGGGTGTATTTAAAAAACATAAATCCTTTTCATTCAGTCACTGTTCCCTAGCAACCACAAAAAAGCATCTGTTTTCCTGGTGTCTGTGAGCACCAGCCCAAGCGGATGCTCAAGCACGCATCCAGAAGCGTGGAGAGAACAAAAGCACTGGAATCGGTCTCCGGTTGGTGAGAGATTCTAAAAGGGGAATTTGTTAAGAGCTGGGCACCTAATAGAACATAGTATGAGAGACCCGTATCGTCAATGTAGGGGTGCGGAGGGGGGACCTGCAGGAAGGGTGCAGATATTATTTATGGCATGGTATTCCTATAGAATATGGGGGCTGTCCCTTTTGGGGTGGGAGGGTTGGCTTCTATGAAACAGCTAATGCCTGAGATACCTGACATCTTTCCAGTAGCTCTTTTGTGGGTATTTCCAGCCAGAGTCTTGTTTTCATTAAAGCTCTACGGACAGAAAAGAAGAGTGACTGGCTGACCTCAAACCTAAACTGAATAGAGTCTCTGCAAATGGCCCTCTTTCAACCAGGCATAGCTACTCAATGCATGTCAGTCACTGAACTCTACAGAAGAAAGGACCTCTCCAACCATTTAGTGTTTGTTTTACAAAGGAGTACGAAAACACAGAGAGGCAAATTCACTTGTCCAAGGTGACACAGTTAGTTGGCAGCTTCCCAGGGTCTCTGAACCTCCAGTCTAGTGGTTTTGGGATGGGAGGTGCTCATGTTTTAAAGATTTAAACCTTTGCATATTATGTCACATTGAATGGCAGTGGGGAGGGAAGGTGGGTCTAAGAGGAGGCTGTCGCAGCAACCAAAAGATGCAAATCTTATAATTTCTAAATCCGAAATTCAAAGGGCTGCCTCAGAACTACAGAACAAGAATGGCTTAAAACAAATGCTAAGTTTTTTGCTTTTTAAAAAGGCATCAAAGCTAAGCAAGCAACCCCCACCCCCACCCCAAATACACACCAGTCAAAGAATTGAGATAGGACAAATGTTCTACCAACAAATGTTTTTCCAACTTATTGAATTAGAAGAATGATCTACATGCTAGCCTTTGTGGAGTTGTAGAATGTTAGAGTGAAATGCGCTCTCTATCACGTTAATCAGGCTCATCATTTTTTAGATGATATCTGAGACTGGCATGCAGAATGGCCAAGAGGTTGGCTGGCAGCACCAGTTAGTGGTGTAGTGAACACCGTATCCTGGGATCTGGCCTCCTTGGGTCTAGTGCTGTTCCTTCTCTAAGCCAGTGGTCCCCAACTGGTCTGTTCCTGTTGGAAAATGGGCCGCACAGCAGAAGGTGAGCAGCGAGCCAGCAAGCAAAGCTTCATCTGTATTTGCAGCCACTTCCCAGCGCTCAGATCATCAGGCATTACATTCTCATAGGAGTACCCGTCCCTGGCGTCAGGAGGCTATCTCTCTGGCATGTAGTATCCACTGCAATTTGCTCTCCTGTAGAGAGCATATTACTTTATTTACAGTTAATCCATTTCCAGTGGAATGCTCCCACTTTCTTCTCTCTTTTCACCTTTTCCACATCCCATCCAAAGCAGATATAGCCGTAGCAAGAATCGTCCAAAATAATTAAGTCGGTCTGGTAAGGAATTTGTTTAAATCATTGGCATCCTGTCTCTTGTCTGTTTGTTGTTGGAGAGCTGAATCGAATGAAGCTTAATGTTTATATGCTATCATTTTCAAAAAAAAAAAAAGTTTCTCAAGTTTTCTCCAACCACTTTTAAAGAAGTGATTTAAAAACATATGTATAATTTCAAACGTACAGAATGTAATATAATGAACATCTATGACTCTATAATCCCAGAGTCAAAAAATATTAACATTTTTCTTATATTTGTGTATGAGTCAGGGTTCTCCAGAGAAACAGAACCAATAGGATGTGTGTATACACATATAGAGAGATTTAGTTGAAGGAACTGGCTCTCATGATAGTGGGAGCTTGGGTAGTCCAAAATTTGATGAAGTAGGCTGGCAGGCTGGTGAGTCAGGGAAGAGTTGCAATCCAAAGTCAGTTTGCTGGTGGAATTCTTTCTTGCTTGAGAGAGTTCAGTCTTTGTTCTTTTAAGGTCTTCAACTGATCGGATGAGGTGTACCCACATAATGGAGAGTAATCTGCTTTACTCAAGTCACTGATTTAAATGTTAATATCCATAAAACACCTTCACAAAAACATACAGAATAATGTTTGACCAAACATCTGGAGACAGTGGCCTAGCCAAGTCGATACATAAAATTAACCATCACACTTTGCTTTAAATCTTTTTTAAGAAATAAAACATTGTAGATATAGTTCATATCTCATTTATGCCTCTCCCTGGGCACCCCATTCAATTGTGATTTTTTTTTTTTTTTTTGGTACTTCAAAGAAAAGTCACTTTTTTGTGACTTCAGAACTCTTTTGATGCTGTCGCCTGAATTCCAATTTCTGGATCAATGCCAGGGTGAGAATTGAAGACATGGCCTCACATTTGCCATCATCACATGTTCTTTCAAAGATTTCCTGGCCATAGAAATTTGTACATAGTTTCTATAGAAAACTTCATTACAAAGCCATTGCACCAGGGTAGATTCACTGGGAGTCACTATGTTGAATGTACACAGGCTTAAACATATTCAGATCCCAGGCCATCCATGTTTGGGTGGTTCTGCCCAAATATTCCCATCCACTATTATACAAGCCATGTCTGTTTTACTTGCTAGTTTATTGCAAGAATAAATAAATGGTGAATGTTGAAAAACCTTGGAAGAAGTAAGAAGTATCAGATAAACTCAAGGTGCAGTATGCTGGCCTCCAAGCAGCTTTCTGACCTCGAGTCTGCTGGATAAGAGACCTGAGCCCTGTACATGCTCAGATCCCTTCCAGGGCCTAGGACTCCATGACTGGTATTTGGAGTGATAGCATCCCTTACTCAAATTCTCTCTGATTTGCTGCTGTAGCTTACAGACTCAGAGAGGCTGGGTCTTCACATAGGATATCAGGTACAGTGTAAGCTGCAGATACCTGCTCAGCTGGATAAACCTTTAATCATGGAAAGAAGGCTCCTAAAGAAGGAAATGAAAAAGCTCCTGTAAGTATGAATGAGAATAACTTTCATTTCTTTCACTCAGTATTTTGTGGATTTCATGTGTGATAGATGGTTTGGATATTGACAGGAAGTTGAAAATCTAAGGATGATTCTATTCCTCCTTTTTTGTTATAAAACAAAACAAAACAAAACAAGATGATCTGGCCTCTGTCTCCAGCCACAGAGGTCTCACATGTGGTGCAAAGCCAAATGCTGAATCTCTTGGGAGGGTGTTTCTACCAGCAGCATGCACGTCTGAGGCATGCCCATTCTAGAGCCTAAGATCTGGGCCCGTTGCCTGTCAGACTGTGCTGGGCAGGATGTGCCTTTGAAAGGGCCCTGCTAATAAAAGATATAGGAGAGATTTCTGAAAAATATACCTAAGGACCCAGGATTTAAATTGCAGCCTCTGCCTCTTTTATTGTCAGTCTTATCGTCTCAATAATTCATCTTCTTTTTCTTGCCATCTGAATTTTTTTTTTAAAAATAAAGTAAATATTAAGTTTTCCCTTGGAAAAATTTTATTCTCTTGTGCTAGATTTTCTTCTACTTGATACTTTGTTAAGAGGTTGGTGAAAATTAGAGACCATATAAAAAGAAAGAAAAAAAGGTTATATTCTATTTCATATGTATTACAGTCACGACAATAATACCTTTGTCATCAAAGACCTTAGCATAGTCCCCATCAAATGTCCTTTCTCAGCCTACTAGGTTAATTACCCTTTAACAAGTCCTTAAGAGATGCTGGAATAAACTGTGTATGAAGTCATACATGTTTACATGTACGTGTTTGGAGGCCGACATAATAAAGAACAAACCATAATCAAGTATGTCAATTCCTCCACATAGAGCTGCAGTTTCAAAACTGATATAATTATATAGCCAAAGAATACATTTAGGTTACTTTAAATAAAATACCTTGGAATTACAAAGAAAAAAACTTGAGAATTTTGTCCATTAAACCTTAGTGACTCAGGAAGAGCTTTTAGGAGCCAGAAACAAAATTATCCCCCACACTTGCCCAAAGTGTGCGTATCCTGCATCCATCCAGTCCCTCTTCTTGACTTTCCCAGAATAGCGACCTTTCTGTTCTCCTCCCAGGGCCTTTATTTTACCCTTGCCTTATTAAAAGTCATCGTTCTGAAAGGATCTGACGGAGATACACTAAAGTGGAATTACTAACGTATTTTTAGGCATAACTCCTCCTAAGGATATTTGCATTCTAATGGGTAAAAGCCTTCAGGCAAAAGAATATGTCTGTATGGAATAGCATCTATCCAGAATTTATCAACTTTGGACATTTTGCCTTAATTTAACACGGGCAACAAGGAGATCTTTATTTTAAACAGTGGGTCTCAGTCCTGTCAGTTTTATAAAACCTTTTCTGCATGTGGGGATTTATCATACTCCCTGTTTTCCTATACATTCTGCACTGACCATGTGAGTTTAATTTTTAGATACATGTGATTTAAGTTAATCATGGTTAGACATTTGAAGCCTGCAGCACTGCAGAATTCCCATTTAAATCAAAATGAAATATGATCTCAGCTGCCAGAACCACCCGTGACTGCTCTTGTATTTGGTAGAGGAGGGAGGGGCTGGGCAGGACCCCTCTTCTGCAGACTCCGATATCGTTCCCAATGGTTCAATCCTGCTCTCTTGCTTTCAAGGGGAGATTATATTGGCATCAGACTTCGGGAAAATGAATTTGACCCGAAAGGAAGAAGGCAACTCACCTTTCTAGATGATATGGTAAAGAAAGGCATGCGGGCGTGAGTCACATTTGAGTTATATGTGTACGAAGGGGACAGAGCAAGGAACTAATGTATATAATAAACGAGGCTAATCTTGATCCCCCAGAATGTCATCTCTGTCATCTTCTCATCCGAGCATTTTCCATATGGTCTTTCCAACTCATTAAACAGAAAGCAAAATGAGTGCAAGGGTAAATATTACATAGAAGATGTTAAAAAATTCTGGTCAGACTTAGCTATCATGTAGTTCTCAAATATAATACTTTTTTTCCTTTTTTAATAATTTTCATTAATGGACAAAGCCAAAGAACTGAATAATCCTAAAATTCTTTGTATTTTAAGATTCAGTATTGCTCATACTGAAACTGAGGTTCATGTTATATAATAAAAGTTAACTTTGCATAAATTAAGGAAGAAAGTGTGTAAAGATCTAACTCAAAAGAAATTGGTAAACCCTCAGCTTTTTTATGATACCTGTTTACTATTCTTGCACTAATAAGGAAAAAAAGGTCTCTCCCTCTCCCTCACCCTCTCCCTGTCTGATTTCCCTGGAGCTGAATAAGCAGATAAGCCTTGGTGTTCTAAAGTGCTTCTCCATGCTTGTATTAAATGAAGAAATTAAGCTGATTAGATAAGTGCTTCTCAGACTTTAATGAGGTCTTATTACAAGGCCGTTGTGATTCAGAAGGTCTGGGGTAGGGCTTGGAATTTGCATTTTTAATGAGCAAACAGCCGATGCCAGCTCTGCTGGCCTATGCATCAATCAATCTTTGGATTAAGTTTCAACAATTGATCATAGTCCTTTTTTTTTTTCTTTTTTTCTTTTTTCTTTTTCTCTTTCTTTTTTGATTCATTTTTCAATTTGATTCAGTCCCTGGAAGAAATAGAAATAAGTACATTGTTTAGAGAATGTTGGAATTATTTAGAACCTTAGAACTCATCTAAAAATACAAAAACCAAACTGACCTTCCCTTTTCTAGGATAGGTATGGACATTCAAATTGGTCTTCAGCTTCTTAACTGTACATAAGACTCTTAGCAGATCACTTGATCAGGTTTACTTCAGTCCCTGCTCTTGGCCCTTCCACCCGGAAGGTCCCCCTCTACCTACAGCAATTCTCCTCACCCTTCAAGCCCCAGCTCCACTGAGGCCTCTTCTCTGAAGCCTCCTGGGATTCCCCAGGTGGACACACCACTTCCCCCGTGTCCCTGGAGGTACGTTTCTGTCATTCTACTCACAGAATTAAAAATCGTTCCTCTGGGGCCCTCTTCCTCCATCTTTGCCTTTTTCTGTTTTAAAATTTAAGAAAACCAAGGCCCAGAGAACATCAACTGTTGGTAGAGGAGGGAGGGGCTGGGCAGGACCCCTCTTCTGCAGGAAGACATATGGTGAATTGTTTGCAATACCTAGATTTGAGCCCAGATTCTCTGATTCCCAGTTTGTATTCTTTCCAAGAATCTATCCTTTCATTTTTGGTCCACACATTTACCTCCCAACGCCCAAAGACCCCTAATGATCTCTGTCTGAGCATCAGATTACTGGACAGAGCTGATGATCCTCAACATTGTGGACATGACGAAATAGTAGAATAGGCTTAGCAGTGCCATTGTCATTGGGCCCAGGGAGCACTTTAGCCCATGTCTAAGCTGGTTCCTTTGCTCTCTGTGCTTCCTGCTTCCAGGCACACTATGACTTGGCCATCAGTGTTGCTTTGCAATGGCTGGATCACCCAGAAGACTTAACTTGGCTGGAGTGGGAGAAAGTGTAAGTTGAAATAGTTTTGTTTGTTTTAATCTGTGAATATGAGTAATGACAGAAGAAGTTCTACCTGGGGTCTTCCACCGGAAGGCACTCTGATTTGAAAACACAACAGGGAGCTATCCCTCTCCAACTATCAGTTATCAACTCGTGGGAGTCACGTATGTATCTACATATGTTGCATCTCTACTAATTGGTTTCTATCAGAAGAAATCCTTTCTTGCATAGAATGCTCTGCCTTAGAAATGTGACTATGCTTTATTACATACATGCTATGATTTTTAAGATGGTCAATCCTGTGGGTAAAGACTGCAATCTTTTCATAAAGACTTTCAAACACAACTTCTTAAACATTTAACAAGATATGTATCTAAGTTGAGCTATTTGAAAGGAAAGAATAATTTCCTTTCCAGGATTATTGGCATTTTCTCCATGTGGGCCAGGCAGACTCACTCGATTTGTAAGAACATGAAACAAATGAGGCCAGAATTGAATAGTTTATTCCAGAAGCCAGTTGTTTTTTCTGTTCCATGGCCTTAGAACACACACCTGGTCCTGGATGGTTGTATCAGTTAGAGTTTAGTAGCAATAAGCAGAAAA